GTTGTTTTTTCCTACCCAATTACAAGCATCGATTTATTACAAACTGCGTCCAGTGTAATTCGTCCACACATTCGAGCACGCATTCAAGGTAAAGGTGTTTCTACTAGACTTTCTTCGTCCCCTGAGAGTGTAAATGCCCTACGACAGACTGACAGAAGGATACTTTTCAAATTTGATGGGCCAAAAATACAAAACAAAACAATTGTATTTGAATATAAATCAGTGCTCGAGCAAATTATGAATGTGAACGTAATTTTTAAACAAATTATTCAGCGCTATGCATATAACAAAAGCGGACCTCCCCCTAAAAAGTAAGCAACGAACGATGACGTGGACACTGGCAAATGAAACACTGGATTAATACAAAAATTCAAAATTTTCGTCAACTCGGAACACGGAAACTAAGCCAAAAAACCAAAAATAAAATTGTCGTTGAAAAAGGTTTGGGATCTCAACGACAATTTTATTGTTGGATTTTTAGTGCAGATTCTGTGTTCCGAGTTGACGAAGTGTTTTTTTTTATATTTTGAATTTTTGCCTTTTAATATTTTATATTCTCTCCGAGATTCTCTCACTAAAAAAACAAAATTAATTTTCCGTTCATAGTCGTAGACATAGAGCCCTAGCCATTTGCGCGCCCACAGAGGGTTCGTCACTGACACCTCGACTGACACATAAAAAACGAGAACGTAACCATAGATGCTTTGAGAAAACGCTTCACAACATTTTCAAAAATCGACATCACTAGCAAGGACATTTTTACCGCGTTTGAAAATTTTCAAAACGTGCAGGCATTTTGAATTTTGAAAAAATCTAACCAGAATCTTTTTATCTCCCCGTATCTCAGAAACAAACGTAACTACGAGGGACAAGTAAATCGTTGTCTATATTTAAAGAATAAAATACAGTGTTCCATTCAAGTTTTTGGGATTTAGTGGGAATAGTCATTAGCACAACGGGTAGTTTAGCTTAGGGGGTAGTATCGGTAACTGTTTACAGTACAGGGTGAGTCAACGATTGCGCGGAGTAACTTAATGCCTTGAAGATTTTTCGATAGAGTGCTTTTGTATTATGATATGGTTGAATAATCTCCACATTTTAAAAATATTTGGAATTATATAGGGTGCGCCCACAAAGTAGGGCGCCCAAATGCTACATTTTTTAAAATAGAACCCCCTGTATTTGAATGCATTTTTCAATTCTACGTGTAATTGTACGTCTTTTTTATTATATGATGATTAATATCCGAAAAGCTAGTAGTTTTAAAGATAATTCGATTTTTAAGAAAAATTGGGTATTTGCAAGCGTTAGTATATTGTCAAAATTATTACTTAAATTTTGATTCCAGGTTTTATATCTTTTATCACGGGTTAAGTAAAAGTCAAATAAATACATCTACTATGAAACATAAAAAATATAGCTTACAGGGTGTTTTTCTTGGTAGGCCCAAAGTTACAAAACTTCATATTAAACAATCTCACTTTTTTAACTGGAACGCCCTGTATATTTTTCTGTCATCATTTAGATCCTCCAAAAACCTTCAATTTTTGATAATAATGTCCTACACCAATCTCTGATAGTTTTCGAAATATCTTGGTTTTCCTGGGTTTTTATATTCTAATCTTAAATACGTTATATGTAATTTACATAATAGTGAGGTGGACATGCAAAAAAAGGCAATTTTTATCTATCTCGTCGAAAACGAAAATCATATCGATTAATTTATTTTTCAAACTATTTTAAGTCCAAAAACTGGAGAATAAGTAAAAACATTTGACTATAAAGCAAATTTAATTTAACTCCTAATGTCATCCAGTCAGTGATATTAGTTTCATTTTTTTTTTATATTCACCTCGTTATTATGTAAATTAGAACTTATTTCAGATTAAAATATAAAAAGTAGAAAAACCAAGATATTTGTTTATGTTTTTACTATCAAATTTATTCTCCAGTTTTTATAGACTTAAATGAATTATTAGAAAAATGAATTAATAAATATGATTTTAGCTTTGAACGAGGCAGATAAAAATTGCCTTTTTTTGCATGGCCACCTCACTATTAGGTATGTAAAGTACATACAGGGTGACAATTTGAAAACTTACCACCCCCCATATCTTAGTAAATAAACGAGATGGCTAGGGCGCAGGGGGTGTGAGGGGGTGCGTCGCCAACTATGTCGTTGTGATTCCCCCTCCGAATTACCGAAACGGATTTTGATTTTTTTAAATATCTCGTTTATTTACTAAGATATGGGGGGTGGTAAGTTTTCAAATTGTCACCCTGTATAACTTATTTAAAATTAGAATATAAAACCCAGGAAAACCAAGATATTTCGAAAACTATCAGAGATAGGTATAGGACATTATTATCAAGAGTTAAAGGTTTTTGGAGGAGCGAAATGATGACAGAAAAATATACAGGGTGTTCCATTTAAAAAAAGTGAGATTTTTTAATATGAAGGTTTGTAACTTTGGATCTAGAAAAAACCCCTGTAAGCTATTTTTTTAATGTTTTATAGTAGATGTATTTATTTGACTTTTACTTAACCCAGGATAAAAGATATAAAACCTGGAATCAAAATTTAATTAATAATTTTGACAATATAGGTACTGACGCTTGCAAATGCCCAATTTTTCTTACAAATCTAATTACCTTTAAAACTACTAGTTTTTCGGATATTAACCATATAATAAAAAAGACGTACAATTACACGTAGAATTCAAAAATGCATTCAAATACAGGGGGTTCTATTTAAAAATGCACCGTTTGAGCGCCCTACTTTGTGGGCGCACCCTGTATAATTCCAAATATTTTTAAAATGTGGAGAATATTCAACCATATCATAATACAAAAGGCTCTATCGAAAAGTCTTATCTTCAAGGCATTAAGTTACTCCGCGCAATCGTTGACTCACCCCTCAACTCACCCTGTACAACTGATTCATGGGCATGCCGCCGCCGGGTCTACCCGAATTATCCGAAACACACGTTATTGTTATGTAGGCAAGCACACCACTTTGCCTTAAGTAGTAGGTAATTCAGATGTAGGCGGTTATTATAATTTTCAAAGAAGGACTTTTTTGCATCATTTTTCTTGCTGTTTTGCGAATTTTGCATAGATAAAAGTAAAACCTGAAGGGGTTACACAGAATGAGATAAGTACCTAAGCATTTTCCGAATGATGAATCAAATCCACCCATGTAAATCAGATTTACCTATGGAGGATCTATAAAGGATCTAGATCATTTTAGGACGATCTTGATCTAGGTGCGGATCTTTGATCTGGATCTAGATCTAGAATTAAAGGATCTTGCCCAACATCGGTCGCAGACCGCACTTATCTCGCTGCCACCTGTGTGGTAATCTGGAGTAGTCACTGGTATTCATGCGGTAGTCTCTTGTAGTCACTGGTAGTCTGTGGCAACTGGTAGTCTTTCGTACAACATTTTGCTCATGTATTACCCCCTCGCCTAGCTAGATTGATTCTATTTCTGGCATTAAAAGTTTAACAAAAAAAAGTGACAAAGAGTCGCGAAAACTTCAAGTCTCTATCATCGACAACAGCCGAGATACACTGCAGTCTCAACCAAAATAAGATACACGGTACAAGAGTAGATGAGCAAAAAAAATGAGAATTTCACCTTTATAACAAAGTTCTTCTAAACGTCTTATGAAACATTTCCGGAATCACTTCCACACAAACTTTTGTGGACATTTTTAGATATGGAATCTCTCCCGTCTGACTGCGACTGCCTCAACATCTGCAATACACATACGTGATAAAAACTTCAGCATTTTCGAATGCAAAATACATAACAATTATTGAATAATGCGTCACACGTGTCGGAGATGAATGATCGTAAGGAGTAATTCAATCCTTGGTGCCCTGTTTTAAAACCAAATCAAGAGTACACTTCTTTTTCCTCTTTTTTCCCCATAACCTAAATCTCGACCTAAATTTTGAGATCTTTTGGCCGAGAACATATCGGAACCAAAAAAAGTATATGGACCATGGCCATAAGCATTTAATTTGGTTTTTTTCTCGATAAAGTAGGTACTTATACGAACGATTCCAACAGTTTTGAGTCAAAATTATATTGCATCAAGAAGTACGTGGACATATCTTGCACATTTGGTCTTTTTCTCAGTAAAATCGGATCCGTGATTAAAACACAACTATTGCATGTTTTGCGTATTAGGTTATTTTCCCGACGAAATCGATTTAACATCTTTTAGAAGATCGGGTACCAAAAAAGTCTATGGATCACATCGAATGGTCCCCAATGATAATGATTTTATTCAAAATACATGTAGGTACACTGCATTAAATTCGTACCCTTGGTTGTATTTCTAACGAAATCGATACCATTTTTACCATATTTTGGACATTTACGGCGAAACTATTCGCAGCGCGGGCTCAGAAGTCCAAAATTTCCGAGGTTTTAACCCACTTAGTGGTGGACACATGGGTTTATCGAAATTTCAACGCCAACATTAAATTTTTTGGCCGCCTTTTTTTTTGTTAAATTTTACAGATTCTATTTTATTTACTCACTTTTTTAGTTGTATGAGTTGTGGTACAATTTTTCTCGTTACTCCAATTAAAATAAAAATGCGCCTTTCACCCCCATATTTTCAAACTTAATTTTATGACTAACTCTGGAAGAGCTTAAATAACCTAATAAAAGAGGCCTCCTGAAATTGTTATAGCTCTTACAAAGGGAAGTAAATAAGCTGGCACAATTCTAAGCAAATCAATTTTCCATTTTCGGACAAAACCAAACCGATAGGTAATTGTTGTATGACTCATAACCGGCTATTATCAAAACAGTAGAAGTAAATACCTATTGGCGATTGAAATGATCGTTTTTCAGTAACAGGTTATTTTTTATCGTACAATAAACAAGCGTTTGTTACGTATAACAATAGCAGAATTAGAAAAAGTGGGCAATCTATCTATAATAATATCTCATCTCGAATAATATGTAAGTAATAACTTACCTAATTGTGTGACATTTGCGGGATGGGTATTTAAAACTGCTTCTGAAGACGGGCATTTCGAACGGGATGCAGAATCGACGGGTTCGTCAAAAAGCAAAACCCTCGCGGAGTTCGAACGTATCCGCGGTTTAACCCTGATGTCCTCCATGTATTTTATTCTTTATGTCCACCCGCCCCCGTCTATTGTTGGGCACGAGCACGAAGCAATAATAATTCCGTTACCTCCATACCTTAGGATCCAGTCCTTTTTACACTTAACACTAAGCCGAACTTTTTATTGACGATCCCAGTGCCACAATAAGAAATTCACCCCCATTTTGACAGATATATTCACGAACGTAAGCACATAATAAATTTATACACATCTGGTTATTTGAAGGTACAGTTCTCACCAACGCATGCTCAACTAGAAAGTCGTCGCTTTCATTGATGTTGCAAAACCCAACCCTGACATCGTTTTTATGGCGATATGCTCGCGTCGTAAATTGTAACAAACTGTAGGCATAGGCATGTTTATTTTGTTACGGTAACGATACAGCGATTAATTTCGTTAATCACTACATCACCACTCGTACAGTTCCGCCGAAATGTCTATTATTACACAAGATGGTGGACCGAAAGTCATTCGTCATTTTCAAATCTGCGGTTTAAATTTCAACACAATGAATCCATTTATGTCAACGTAGACTGACAAAGTATAGTAGGTCGGAGTCCACAACATTCTATTATTGTTGTTTTTAAGCCATTGTGTAATTGTAAACAATATGGATCGGTACCGGAGTAAGGTGGGGATTATTTACCCCTTAAATCGTTGATCTCGGCAACCGTTCAAACGCCCGAATGTACTCTGTGTTGCCTATAATTACCGCTAGTAAGATAAAAAAGTATTCAAGTCGTCCTGCGAGATCGAAGGGACTTCAGCGCATTTTTGTGTGGCAGATCAGTATTCTATTAGCCAGTTTTGACTCCACCATTAGTAAGGTCTTGTCGGGGACTACCGCATTCCTTTTGTTGGTACCCGCTTCCGATGTCCCGTTCACCCCACTGATCCCATCCCATTTAACTCGCAATTTGTGTTTCAAGTTTGACACCACCATCAGTAAGATCTGGTCGGTTTTTTTTTTATTTTGTAAGCAATGCTGGGCTATTGTTCCAATCTTATATGTACTTAGATAGGTATTTATGATAGTTTCACGGACCTTTAAGCGATCCATGGTTAGTCTAGAGTAGAAAAACAGGTACCTATTTATTGGCTACAGAAAATGCGCTATTGTTCTTCCTTCTTGGATCATAAAGTAACAGGGTGGCCTGTTTTATTCTTCACGGCGGTTAATTAATTAGTTATCATTTTCAGTTGTTTTTTTAATACAACAGTACTAAAGCGCGGAGAGACATCTAGTAGTTCAATATTACTAACCAAGCATGGCAATGGCAGCATCTTATATTTTACGAACTTACAGAACCGAAAAACAGGAACGGAAACCGAAAATTGTTGAAAGCTCAGAACCGGTACGTGTGAACCCTTAAAAAACAATCTACCTAAGTAGTGCCGAACCGGAACCTATAATTGTTTTCGGTTCCAATACCTCATTACAAAAAGATAACGTCTGTTTAAACAAGACATTCAATAAGTACAAACCAGAAGATTATAAGTATGTAACATTATTTATTATTCCTATTCAAGCACCTGGAGACCTATTAATCGCATAAATTCAAAAGCAATATCAAATGAAGTTACGTACGTGGCGACATCTCAATTAAACTTAAAATACTATAACGTGAAAAAAGTGTATCGATTACCAAGGAGATGGCGCACTTGTACATATCATCATAGAATTTATCAATAATATTATATTTAAACTAGTTAGTCAAAAACCGGGGCATTGAACTACAATTGCTCTACAGATTTTGCAAAAAGTTATAGACTAGAAACCAATTTCGAAAGAAAATTCAAAGGGCTGTAACTTTTGAACTAGTAGCCCAATCTTGGAACTGTTTGAAATTATGGATTCTACAAGCCACATTCTATAAGAAAATTTTTTTTCCGGGTCGATCTGAGACAATTTTTTTTCGGGGCTCAAAAAAAGGCAGTGTATAACCTTCCCTTTTTACCAAAAATCGACTGCACCAAAATTTCTCGGGAAAACACTTTTTCTTATTAATTTTGGTGCGTAGAATCCAAAACAATTCGTACGTTTTCGATTAGACCTCTCAATAAAAAGTTATAGACTAGAAACCAATTTCGAAAGAAAATTCAAAGGGCTGTAACTTTTGAACTAGTAGCCCAATCTTGGAACTGTTGAAATTATGGATTCTACAGGCCACATTCTATAAGAAAATTTTTTTTCCGGGTCGATCTGAGACAATTTTTTTTTCGGGCCTCAAAAAAAGGCAGTACTTTTAAGTTATTCAAATATTTGAGAACAATTTAGAAATGTTTAGGGAAAGTTTCCATTGTCACAAAATCAAATATAAAAATCCGATACAACTGAATACCGAACGATCCTGGAGTGAAACTTTTTGACTCGATAGTCTACGTAACTTAAAAACAATAGGGACCTTTCTTATATTCTTAAGACCATGTGTACCAATTTTCCAAGCGATCCGATCGCACGTTTCTAAACAAACTATCATGCACACGGACAGAAAGATGGTCACAAACGGATCTGTTCCAGAATCGCTAGGATTAATTTCAGAAAGGCGTATGTATCATGTGCACGACGTACAATCGCTTTGAAAACTGATACACGTATTCTTAAGGATATAACTGGTGTAAGCAAGGTCCTGGTAGGTACCTCCTATATAATAATAAGATAATAATAATAATACGCTTTTACTCCCCTTAAATTTGTATATAACAATAGAAATATAAAAAAAAGCTAACCCCATACAAAGTATAACTTGATTTTTTAAGTAGTATTAAGCCTTTTATCTAGTATACTATTTTAAATTTTTAATGTATTTGAGTGACAAGTATTTGAATACTTTTTACTGTATTCGAATACTTTTTATAGTATTTGAATACCTTTGATAGTATTAGAATACTTTTGAAAGTATTCGAATACATTCTAAAGTATTTGAATACTTATTTTTTTAAGTATTTGAATACTTTTCAATGTATCTGTATCTAGTATTCGCTTGTGCTGGACGTAAAAGTATTTAGTATTCAAATACCTTTGATTTGTGTAAAGTAGGTATTTACTATTTAGTATTCAAATACTTTTTGAAGGTATTCTGCCCAGCTCTGCTCTAAGCTAATACCTATTGCCGATAGATGGTAACAATAGGATTTTTTTTTCCTATACTTTTTAGCGCATTTCCACAAAAATAAAAAAAAATGCGCTATTGTGGCCACTTTGTCCGTCCGTCCGTCCGCTAACTTTGCGACGCTACTAGTTTTTTATCTTAAGAGTTATTGTTCTACTTTTTTCGCTATTTGGTTCGTTATGGTGTCGAGTCTTGTACCAAGGAAGGAATTCGTTACCGTGTACCGCTTACAAAAAGTTATTGTAAAAAAAACAAAAAACCGTTTTTTACATGTTCCATAGTTTTACACTTTTGCCGTTTATTAACGATCCTAGAGATCGTTTATAATTTTGCATTGCTATCTGTCGTCTGCCTGTTGGTCTGTCCGTCTGTTCCTTTGTCTGTCTGTCCATCTATCTGTCCGTGTGAACGATAACTTTGTTTAGAAATGTTCGATCGCTTTTACATCTCCGTTAGTTTTGAACTGAATTGCATTAAATTCAATATGGGCATAGCTTTAGCCATATAATACGCAATGCCAAAAGTTGAATCGAATCGATTCAAAATTCACAGTGCCCTGTTCGCATCTCGACCATTTATAAACCGAATTGCAAACTTTTTTACTTATAA